CTCGAATTCGTTTATTCCATTCGTAGTCACTTAAATTAGTTGAACAGTCCAAGTTCGGTCACTCTCCGTTAACCTCCGTCAGACTCCGTTAGTGCCGTCAGTTAACTGCTGATGTGGCTAACAGAAATTCCTAGGCACCCAATTTTAACCCAAAAAAAAAACAAAAATTGACCCGCCACATCAGAAAAACATATCACCTCATATTAACACAACCCAACTCACCCAACCTAAAAAAAACCATTAACCCACCCAGAAATCGAACTTGTGATCCATTCAGCCTTCTTCTTCCTCTATACCCTGCTTCCGCCGCCTTCGGGGGATTCCCCTCGATCTCCCTGCTACAGCCCCCGCCGCCGGATCCAATAACCCCCAAACGTCGCCGCCAAGAGGAACAAGAGCCGCCTGCACAAATCACTGGCACGACTCCTTGAGGTTCCCTACACGGCCTCCGATTTCATCGATTGGGGCGACCACATGACTCCCACACTGTCCCCCAAGCGGGACATCTCCGGGCGGTGGCGCGAGCTCCACGAAATCGACGATTGGGAAGGCCTCCTCGACCCAATCGACCCAACCCTCCGCTGCGAGATCCTCAAGTACGGCGAGTTCGCCTCCGCGACCTACGACGCCTTCGACTTCGACCCAGAAACCTGGATCCGGCGGCGGGGGCTGCAGCAGGGAGATCGAGGGGAAATCCCTTCGACGGTGGCGGAAGCAGGGTATGGAGGAAGAAGAAGGGTAGATGGGTCACGGGTTCGATTTCTGGGTGGGTTAATGGTTTTTTTAGGTTGGGTGGGTTGGGTTGTGTTTATATGAGGTGGCATGTTTTTCTGACGTGGCGGGTAAATTTTTGTTTTTTCTTGGGTTAAAATTGGGTGGCTAGGCATTTCTGTTAGCCACATCAGCAGTTAACTGGTGGCACTAACGGAGTCTGACGGAGGTTAACGGAGAGTGACTGAACTTGGACTGTTCAACTAATTTAAGTGACTACGAATGGAATAAACGAATTCGAGTGACCAAACTTGTAATTTAGTCGGGCGATATCTTTTGGATCATTCGTGTTGTTTTGCAGTTATGCTATTGAAAAAGGCGAGGTGGCGAGAAAGAAGAGTACATTCAGGGGACGTACATTTGATAGACCGATTCAAAGTCAATGAACACATACGTTGGAAAAACGAGATGGAATTTACTTTAACGGACAAAAGAGTAAGAATTTTCCACAAGGAATATGCATGGAAGAAGAAAGGGAGAGATGGAGAATGTGATCCTTATCTAAGCTTTTCTTGCCATCCATCTTATCCATGTCCGTTACATCTTCTTTGTTTCATCCATCCGTTTTATTTGGCCCCCAAACAAACAAAACAAGAACCTACCAAAGACAAAAAGAAAATGGAATGAGACAATTCTAAGCCAAGGCTGGCTAGCTAGTGACGTTTTGCCTTTTCTTCAAGAAAGCCATTTTATCAACCGGCCGTTACTTAACGGTGCTGGACCATTGCACAGAAAGATGAAGGGCCCATCCCCCATTCCACCTTGTAACGTCTCAGTCTATCATCCAAAGCCAATCACATCCCACCACATCATACAACCGGTTCAATACCTACTCACCTCTCTATAATCAAACACAACCTCTCTCTAATGGTCATTAAACCCCCATAAATTAGATGATGACTCTTTGTCCATTTTGGTCCATATGTGATAATAACTAATAATTGGATTTCAATGTCTTCAATTTCAGGGAAATAAAAAAAAAAACAAAAATGATAACGGGCACAAGACTAATTGGGTATAATTGCCCCTGAGAGAGGTTGACTCGAGAACCTCCTCAAATAATTATGCAAACTTGAAACCGATGGACAACAAGATCTACCAGACGATTTTGTAGCCATTTTGGTTATAAGATTGATAGGGGTTTGAAAGTATGACTATACGAGCATATATTTTCCGATCATTTTATGTAGTTTCGACGGTTGAATTAAAAGAATATTATCATTTATGTAAAATAACTATATTACTGAATTTATTCACCGATTGAATATTGTATAAGGAGACAATTGAATGAGTATTTATCAACATATCTCCATGAAGCTATTGCCTTATCCGTAAAATTTTTTGTCTCATTAGATAACTTGTCCAACACATAAGTCACCCCTAAAAAATAACCAGTAATTTTAATTTTTTTACTAAATACCTCATTCGATGTAGCTAGCTCCATAAATCAAGTAAGTGAGTTTCTCGGGACGGGTTAGCATGCTAACCCCTTAAGGGGTTGGTTTTTTGACACCCCCTTTTAATTGGTCAATTTTTCATTAATTATTGACAAGTATTAATGAAAGTAAACATAATAAATGTTATGTTATTAAATACAAAGTAAACATTAAATACACCACATTAATTACCACTTTACTGGTATTTGTACCACTGCACTGGTATTTGTACCACTGCACCGATACTCATATATGACATTGCTACCAGTGCACTGATATCGCTACCAGTGCAGTGGTATATCTACCAGTACAGTGGTACAACGTATCAGTGCAGTGGTATATCTACCAGTACAATGGTACACCGTATCAGTGCGGTGATATATTTTTTGGAGGTGGTCGGAGGGAGTCTGCCGATGAGATTTTCACCGGAGAAGTGTGGCGGTCGGAGGAAGTCTGGTGGTCGGAGACTGCTGAAAAAGGAAAAATCAAATATAGTGAGAGAATTCCTAATGTGTATTTAATGTGTGTATTTAATTCCTAATGTGTATTTAATGGTGAGAGAATTCCTAATTAATATGGTACATTTAATTCCTAATGTGTATTTAATGTGTGTATTAAATTCTATAGTTGTATTTAATATACTAGGGGGTGTCATTTTTCCAACCCCTAAGGGGGTTAGCATGCTAACCGACCCCGAGTTTCTCCAATCACAAAGATATTACTCAGGAATCAAATAATAATTTTGAGTTTAACAGGTGTATTGCAACTTATAAAATTATTAGGTTACGCTACTTTGTGGGAACATAAGGATTATTCTCGAAAGAGGTGCACGTATTTTCATTACAAAACACGAAATTGAAACTCGACGGTCTAGCTACAATCGCAAATTGATTCTATGACTATAAGTATAAGAGAATGTGATGGCTTGGTAAGGAAATATTTTGAATGTTAAAAGTGAATGGCCAAAAGTTATGAGTTAATAATTGCACTAAGGATGGAGAATCATAAGAATTTAAGTGAAATGCCATATATCTTTGGCTAATGAGCCAAATATCATTGTCTTATCTTTAAATTAAACAACCAATGGTGCATTTATATAAGGAATTCTATGATACCCTTTATGAATTTAGGGTTACTGCATATCATTAACAAATCAATGTTAGCTAGACCATGAATTAATAAGAATTTAAGATACTATACCTTGACTGGAATGGCCAAACCATATGTTCCAATTCTCTAAACCGTAATGTGGTGCATATGGTATGTTGGATGTATCTCGGTAAATCAGAACCATTGTTCTTGTGTATATTTTGATTTTTGGATTTAACATTTGGAGAGTTAGTGTCTAGGATTTACTCATTTGAAACCATAAAAAAAACTTTTTGTACTCATTTGATTAAGGGGGTTTAAGATTCACTCATTCGAGACTCAGGATTTAAGGTATAAGGATCTAAGATTACACAGTGATCAAGTATCTTCAATAAGAAAATTGTCAGAACAGAAGCGTGGCAATCGATAATCCAAAACCTACACGAACGAACACAAATTTAACGTGGTTCACTCACACAATGTGTGCTAGCTAATCCACAGGCAGGGGAGAACAAATTTCACTAATTTGAGGAGAGTACAGGTTACAAACCAAATTCCAAACGGACAAACCAAACAAACTAACCTGACTGACCTTTCTACAGACTAGGGTGATGAAGAGTATTTATAGAACTCTTCTCCTAATCTCAAACAGAAAACCAAATACATTTTCCCAAACATACAAGGAAAAGGTCAAAACAAAACCCAATCCCAAACCCAAACAAAATAGGACCAAACACAAAACAAACCCAAATCAAATTCAAGTCATATTCTAACAATAACAATCCAAGTACCACATCGGTTATACAAGGGAAGGAACCCTTGTATATTAGTGTCCACCAATCTCATTAGTATGAGGCCTTTTGGGGAGGAAACCCAAAAGTAAAACCGTGCGGGCTTGGCCCAAAGCGGACAATATCGTACTAATGAGCAGCCCGGTTATAACAAGTGGTATCAGAGCCCGGTTCGGTGTGGGGCGGTGGACATAAGTTTGGTGGACCCTCATTCGGTGGCCTTGGGATTTGCGATCTGCGTCTGGTTTGGTGGATCCACGAGAGATCCACGGTTGCGCTATATCTGGTTTGGCAGATCAAGGGAGGTCTGCTCGCGTCTGGGAAAATCCTTGTACCGAGAAGCCCATCGATACAAGGTGTCTGGCTGATCAAGATAATCGCTGAGGTGAGGACACGATGTTCGTGGCCCTTGGCTTGGGGGGAGGATTGTAATGGGACAATCCAAGTACCACATCGGTTATACAAGGGAAGGAACCCTTGTATATTAGTGTCCACCAATCTCATTAGTACGAGGCCTTTTGGGGAGGACACCCAAAAGTGAAACCGTGCAGGCTTGGCCCAAAGCGGACAATATCGTACTAATGAGCAGCCCGATTATAACAAAAATCACTAAACGTTTTAAGCCAATTAACAACAATCATTGTTTTAGGGTTAAACTTAGCATTAAAAATGATAGATTGGTGCATATTATAAGATAACAAACTGGATATCTTGTTACCATGAACATTTCTAAAACCTAAATTAGAATAATTTAAACACAAATAAGATCAATTGATTAACACTAAATAATAACCCAAACTTCGATTTTGCAAGAGGATGAGCACAAAGCTAATAAACAAGAAACTAACAATAGGAGAAAAAAAGACACTGCGGGTGGTGGGCCTATAAAGACCCGGCCCCTAATTCTCCCCCTTTACTAGTTTACTTTCGCTTCCTTTCTTCCTATTTCCTTTCCGCCTCCTTCCTTCCTCTTCCACATTTCTCACAATCCAAACAAGCAGCAAATCGAGATAAAGAAGAAGAAGAAGAAAGGAATGGGGAATTGCCAAGCGGTTGACGCGGCGACGCTGGTGATTCAGCATCCCACCGGCAAAGTGGAGAAGCTCTACTGGCCCATTACCGCAGCCGAAGTAATGAAGACAAACCCCGGCCACTACGTCGCTCTCCTCCTCTCCACCACCCTCTACCCACCTAATTCCTCTGCCTCCGGCGCCAATGCTACTTCTACTAATACTACCAAATCCGCCGCCGGCAGCGGCGGGCCGGTGAGGCTGACGAGGATTAAGCTCCTCCGGCCCACGGACACCCTCACCCTCGGCCACGTCTACCGGCTCATCACCAATCAAGGTTTTTGATATTCTCGACCCCTGCGTATTCACCTGTTTCTTTGCTTTACATCGTTTCCCGATGCTGATTTTGGTGCTTAATACCCAAATCCGCAGAGGTGATGAAAGGATTGTTGGCGAAGAAGCAAGCGAAGCTCAATCAAAACAATCCCCAATCAGCTGAAGATCATCAATCGGCGTCCAAATCGGAGGACCGGAGAAAACAGAGCAGCTCTGTTTTGCCGGCGACGATATCTGAAACGGACGAATCCAGAAGACGGAGAAGAGCTCACGGCAGCAGCCACCCGGTAATTATATTGCAACCCATTATCTTAAAACCCAAAAAAAAAAAAGATCAAATCTTTTGGGCTAAAGATTGTTGCTTTTGCTTAATGCTTAGTTCAACCTCTCTCTCTCTCTCTGTCTCTGTTCCATTTCTGGGTTACGTTTTTCTAGTCTCTCCCACCAACTACTTCACATCATTATTCCTACCGGAGATTGATGAAATGTACGCTAATTCCATTCTCAGGTTACGAGAAACGAAAGGAACAGAGGGTCATCATCGTCATCATCATCATCATCATCATTGTCAGCAGGTGGAGCAGGGAGTGGGAGCGGGAGATCATCAAGAACATGGCAGCCATCACTGAACAGCATCTTGGAATCAGCTGGCAGCAGCAGCAGCAGCAGCATCTAATTTCATACTTCAATTATATTGTCTCCTCCTCTCTAGAGCTTAGTGATGATGCACTTTAGTGGGCAGTGGTTCTTCGTGCCGACACCAACATCACAGCATATGAAACCCAGCTGGCTCTGCCCAACCGTCCAATTCATCATCACCCCCTCAAAAACCTCAAGAATATAACGGCAATTTTTGCTTTTAATTAATCCCACCTTCCTGGATTTTGAGATACCGTTTCTTTTTTCTCTTTAAAGAAAAGGAACCGTACGGATACCTGTATAGCAAAGAAATTGAAAGAGGGAAAAGGGAGGAAAAACAGAGAGGATGAGAGTGCGTTGTCTTCGTCGTGGTGGTGGTGGTGACTGCCTAATAGGGTTTTTTCTTGTTTCTTCTCTCTTGTGAGATCGATGTAGTGAAATGAATAACATCCATTTGTAGTTTTATGGCGCTGTTCGTTGGAGAAATTTTATGAAATGAATAAGAAAAATGCCAGCCAGCCAGCAAGTTTTCTGACTCGAGATTTACAGTTTCTGTGAGCTGTGTGTGTCGACTCGCTCCAGGACTCAGATATCTCTCTCTGTGTGCTTTAATGTATTGTTATGTTTTTTGCTTGCAAACAGAGGTAAAATATTGGACGGGGGTAATCATTAATTAATATATAAGCATGCATTAATTACATATAATTATGCACCCACACATGTGAGGATTAGAATAATACCAGATTTGCAGTGTACTGCAATGCTGCAAACTTGTTTTTAATAACCCTAAACTGACTCAGCGCTTACTCTGAAAGTCACCTTGCAGTAAGGGGTGAATTCTCTCACATAACATTGTAAAAATAGGAAAAGCTGAATTAATGACGGTCGTGAATCGATTGTTATTAATAATTCGAATCAATGGAAAAAAGCGAGTGACAATGTAATGAATATATGTGAACTTTCATTTTTTGGAGGGAAGACATAAAATTTTGTATTTCGAATATCCTCCGAAAAGGTTGAACGCTCTTGCTCTCGATAATCGCGAGAGGCAAGCAGATGGATATATTTCATAGATTTTTACTAGTCACGGACCTGGTCAGTTGGCCGGATTCATTCGTCAATAGCGTAAACAACCGTAGTAATTTGTATGCGAGATACTCATTTATATGATACCATAAGAAAATCATTATTTTTCAAATTACCTGGAACCTTAATTTGGATCTGAGTTAAGAAAGGGGGAAAAAAGGAAGAGTTGAATATATATAATAGAGTTGGGTTGGATTCCCAATCGTACGTGTGCACTGAGAAGACATTGGAAGCCTAGAACTCCCCCTTAATTAAGATTATCTTTCTATTCCATTCCCCAGCTTTATTTTTTTCCTCATATATTTAAGAGAAGAAAGAAATTAATTGCAGGCCTTGGCAATGGAACAGTTTGGGACGTAGGAATAGCCTGGAAAACAAAGAAAGGAGAAGAGGAAAATTTTTCGAGTAAAGAGAATAGTTATGTAGATTGTACGTATCATAAAAATTTCATTCATCCTACATGTTTAATTATGCATATTTAGAATTCATATATATATGTGCTTGTTATTCGATACATGCTCCATTTCAGTCGGATTCAACTGTCCGACAGATCCATTCTTATCGAAATGACAAGTCTGTTATACTATATCTCATCGCCTATCAAAAATCACAAGTCTCTTATAATATAAATATACATAATAGATCGTTGTTAAAACTCTATCAGCCGGCCAGTTGGACTCGATTTGATCAAAATGGGCACCGTCTACGTATCGAAATGACAAGTTTTGTGAGATCGAGCATGATGATTAGTGATTATATTTAGTTCAAATAATGTTGACCTAGAGATGGAGAAAACTTGAACATGCGGCAGCCGAAATGATGGTTATGATTAGCATTAAAAGAAGCAATTGGTGGCAGAATCTTTGCTTTTCCCCCTCTTATTCATCATCATTCCACTAATTGCATTCCTCCCTATCTATTTTCTTCTTGAGTGTCACTACCTGGCCTCTTGGCCTGCAAGTAGAAATAAAGGAAGTAGTATTCACCTAAAAAAAGAAAAAAGGAACTAGTAGAGGCCCTTCTTTTCTTACTAGTGTCCTACATATACTAAGGATGGATAAGTAAGTTGGACAATGAATGACAATGTGTAGGTCCAGACCGTTTATCTTGATATTTATGTACGTCCAGTGATAGGTTTGTTCATTTATTTCATGGGACGTGGGTCGGGACAGGTCGACTTATATCAATATGTTGTTTAAAATAGAAATATTACAACTATTCATTTGTTTCATTAGTACCAAGAAAAAAATTATAATATGATAAATATAGTTAAATTATTCGAGACAATGAGATTCTCGCTTATTTACAACTTTAGTATAGCTAAAACATGAAGTAATAAATGTAAATCTTAAATAATTTGAGAAAAAATACATGTAAAATAGACAACATATAAATCGAATAAAATGAGTAAAATCAAAATTATCATAGCACAACTACCACCAACTCACTAACCATCCAACATTCTCCCCATAACTTAACGGCCATGGAAACCAGCTAGCTCGCTCGCTCATCATTGTACTCCAAATTTATTTTCATTAATTTCTCCCTCTTAATCTTTTTGAATTTGGGTTCACTACTTGGGATTATTGGCTTCACCTCCAAGAAGAGCTATCATCGTTGCTTAGATACTTATATGAACCTAAACTCAGAGTTACCGAACGCACAATAAATCAGTCATTAAGATAATGAAGGATAGATAACGTAAGAAAGTGGTTGAGATTCGGGACTAGTTGATTTATGACATAGTATCAGAACTGGTTTGATCTTGAGATCACGCGTGTTCAAGTACTCAAGACTTCCCAACATTAACATTTGTCTTGAAACACATGGTACGACAGGCCTGTGCCAACTTCGAGCCAATGAGTTGGTTTTTGTTCAATAAAGCCTATAAAAGAAATGATTAAGATTTACAAACATGAACCTCTCCCAAACAAGTGAAGTTATTGAAGCCAACCGATTCTCAACATATTAACACGTGAACATAGAAAGAATGTTTTTTGGAGAACCATGCACCTCCCTAGTCCCAAATCACAACCCCAACATACTTCTTATTGCCTTGCCCACCACCAACGTAGGTTTTGTCATAATGGAAGGTGATGAGGAATTTCTTTTGTCTCTTTGGGGGACCCTTTTCTCTCCCAATTTGTTGGCTCATCACCCAATTTATTAGTTTCTATTGAATGGTCCCCTAGAAAATGAAAGAAGGAATAGTGGGCATCGATACAAAAATTTGTCTCTACTAAGAGCCAGCCAGCCAGCCAGCAATTAATGATTGAAATGGATATCAGAATCGGATCCGCCAAAGAACATTAATATCGGGGAATGAGTTGTGGGAGCAATGTACATGGCTAGTAGGCCATAACCATTCATCCATCCTCCCATCCATTCATTCATCCATTAGTTTCCAAGAAGTACTATAGAATGCTTAATAATTTAATATTATTAATAATAAATTATTATGATGATGATATCAATAATGAACTTCATGTTTCATGAATTAATGGAGGAATGGTATTTAAGCTACTGAGGAAGATCTAATAATTGTTCATTATAATCAAGACTTATAGCCTAGAGTCGGAGGTACAAGAGTGGAGCTACCACTAGTTTAATAATTTGACTTAAGGTGGTATAATATGTTAATAAATTAGGTTGAGTTTTTTTATTGTCTTTTCTTTTATTATTTTTCAATGATGTCGGGTTACTGCTTCTCTTTATATTTATTTATTATCCAGATTTTATGTGATAGGAGAACTTGTTAAGAACCAATTGGTCTCAATAACTCAAGTTGTTGGAAGAAGTTGAACAATGAATCTTATACCACATACTAAGACACACTCTCAAACAAAATTGTTTTCATATGGGCTTGAAGTTTGCAGGCATCCAATATTCGAACAAAAGACTATTCTACAACAGAAGGCTCTGATATCATGTAAAGAATTAATTGGTCTCAATAAGTCGAGTTGTTGAGAGAGGTTCAATAATGAATCTTATATCACATTCTAACAGGACTATCACTTTTCGTGTGGGTTTGACCATGATCATTAACAATGTCCAAAAAATAAAAGTCGATTAAAGATCATATTTATGATCATCCGATCTTTGATTGGCTAACATTTTCAACTTTAGAAGTTGCACATGATTTAAAGATTTTTCATTCATTTTTTTTTTCTTCTTTCAAACATATAAATGTTAGGGACAAATGTTGCGAGCATGAAACATTTCATTCAAACTAGTGAGAACAACTTCCTGTAGAGAACTCGAATGATCATCCGTAATGATTGGATTTTAGTCTATTAACTTATTTCTCCATTGATGAATGTATAACTCTATAAGCCTCATATTTGAATATTTTGCTAGTAGTCAAAGTTGACCTTACCATCTGTTACAGATTCATCATCGATCAAAACTTTGTCAAAGTTGACCTTGCCAGCAAATTCCTCCTTATCATCGACCATACCAGCAGCTTCTTCCTTGTCAACATCTTCCCCATTCTCCTTTTCCTCAACATAAGGATGCAGAATCCTTCATTAAACCATCATATCCTGTACTGAAGGCAAGATTCATTTGTTGCATATGCATAACACCACCTGCAATATACAAGCTATACCTGCGGTCAAATCCACAAGGTACAAAAATTACCTAAGAAATCTTCGTATACTTGTGACAACATTCAACTGCGAATGCCTCCCCACTACTTCCTGGTTGAATATGAAAAACCAGAGTTAGAAGTTCGTTTAAAATATATAATAAAAATACAGTAGATTATAGATATATTATTGTATGTAAAATTGTGATAGAAGATAGCAGATTAAGCATAAGGGGAAAACATATCAGCTTAAAAATTGTTTAAGGAAGCCATCTAATAAAAATTATCACGAAAAAACTATTTAAATAATTCACACACATTCCTAAAAATCTGTAAATGAACGTGCAAGGAAATTTACCTATTCAATTTGTTAATTCATTAATTTATCAATTACAAGTGTTGTTTTGATTTGAAGATATAAAGGGTAATGTTGATCTATCTACATCTACACTACTTATAATACATTTTAAAGAGTTTGATTTGCTCCATTTCAAATTTTCTGCAACGAGAGTGAAAGTAGGAAGGGTATTTTCGTCTACACAATCAATTTTTTATTTCATATAAAATGATATCAATGCTAGGATTTGTACCATGGTCTCTTCCACCAAAGACAAGAATTGTAATCAATTAAACTAGACACATTTGTTGTACTTTATTAATACAAAACATAGAGGAAGTTAAAATTATGAAAAACAAAGTACTTTTCTATCACGGTTAGTTAGCCCGCTAAGTCTACTGTAAGTATTTTGTGGTGTTTGATACTTCTATTTTCATATTTTAATAATTAATTTAGAATTTTTTCTAACTTATAAATGAAGGATAATTTTAAAATCTCAACACAA